CGTGGTGCCCTGCAAGACAGCTGCCCTCCAGACACGGCCACTCCACAGCCCGCCAAACCACCACCCCATCCCCCAGCTGGGTGGGCATGCAGGACCCCAGCCCAGGGTTGTCCCTGGAGTGTCCCCACCCTGTGCCCCATGAAACCGCCTAACCTGTCACAGGGAGGGTATCGGGAGCAAAGACCTCTGGCAGAAAGCAGCCCTGCCACACCGGGCCCTGGGGGACACCGCGGTGGTGAGCCGGCATGGGGACCCCTCACCGTTGGCAGGTGCGTGGGGCAGAGCCTGGTGCTCCCGCGCCGTTGGCTTCCCTTGGCAAGGTGGTGTGGGAAGCTGCAAGGCCCCTTCCTGGCTGGTCCCCAGCTCCTCAGCAGGGTGCGGACAGGTCTGCCTGGCTCTGTCCGTCCATCCTCCCAACGGCAGGCGTGGGGTTGTTGGGCATGAGACAGCTGTGTACCCCATTGGCTTTTGTTGTGACTGGCAGATGAAACAGCCACTGGGAAAACTTTTTCCCTCTATTTTTGGTCTGGTCACTTTTCTAAATATATTCAGGGCTGCAGGGAACGGTGCTGGGGGAGTGTGAGCCCTTGGACACTGCGCAATGGCACCTAGGGGTCACTGTTCCTGCGTGCCAGCTGCCAGGACACTGCAGCCATGGCCCTAGCCCAGCCTGGGCACTACAGCCCCCACAGCCCCTGCTGGCACCCGCCTGGGCTAGGGTGCAGGGGTGGGCACCTCGCACTGGCACCCCAGCCCCCAGCACGTCCCGGCCAGAGCAGAAAGAAGGGAGGCAGTGCCTGAGAACAGAGATTTAATGGCCCAAGATGCCCTCCTGGCTGTCCGGGAGGGCTGGACCGGCACCTGAGGGATGCTATCCATGGGACAGGGACAGGGACAGCACAGGCCCATGGGGCAGCTGTGAGGCTGGGGCAAGGGCTGGGGTCCCCATGGTGCTGGCCCTAGCAGGCAGAGCAGCGGTCACCCTTCTCCTGCAGCCCAGGGTTGCGGCGCAGCATGTCCTTGAAGGAGCTGTCCTGCTCCGTCAGCAGCTGGTTGATCTCATTCTGCTTGTACTCGGAGGAGAGCTTGTGCCCATAGAAGGAGCCCTTCACCGATGGGGGGTTGGAGTTGTGCTGGCCTCGGCGGGCACAGGCCCGTACCACCAGGTAGACCAGCTCCGCCATGTTGAGGACGATGCAGATGCTGGAGGTGACCAGCATGAAGACGGTGAAGATGGTCTTCTCAGTGGGACGGGAGATGAAGCAGTCGACGATATTGGGGCAAGGGTAAGCCTCGCACTTGACCAGCCGCACCATCTGGTAGCCCGGGTAGAGCATGTAGAAGATGTACATGAACACAGCCTCGAAGACCAGCCTGAAGACCACGCTGAAGACGTACGTCCACCACAGTGAACCCGCTATGCGCATCTTGTGCTTCTTCACCTCCTCCATGTGCTTGGGGTCTGCGTGCCCTGTCAGCACCAGCAACTTCTTCTCCTGATGCTGCTGGTAGGCCACGTGCATGGCCACAAGGAGGGCCGGCGTGGTGACGAGGATGAGCTGCAGGGCCCACAGACGGATGTGGGAGATGGGGAAGAAGTGGTCATAGCATACGCTGTTGCAGCCAGGCTGCTGGGTGTTGCAGGTGAAGGCAGATTTCTCATCCCCCCAGACACTCTCAGCTGCAACCACCAGCACCATTATCCGGAAGATAAAGATGACGGAGAGCCAGATGCGCCCGATGGCAGTGGAGTGGCGGTTCACCCCACTCAGCACTGTATAGAGGCCGGCCCAGTTCATTGTTCCTCACGTCTGCAGGGGTGAGCAGCCAGAGATGGTGTTAGGAGTAGGAAGGGCCCATGGCTGAGAGCCACTGTGTCCTGGCCCTGGTGACAGCAGCCCCGGCAGGGACCCGGGAGCAACTGGCTACTGGAGTCCTGGTAGGTGGACAGCAGGATGGACAGACAGCAGTGTGGCTCCTGCTGCTGACATGGCTCAGAGCAGTATTTTGGCCAGAGCAGGCAGGAGACCAGTTGGCCCTGCAGTGCCAGCTGCTCCTGCCCTGCCACCACCCACTGGCCTGGGGG